TTTTTTTTTAAAGATTTTGAAAGCTTGAATTGTCTCACCACAAAACAGTTTTGTCCATTTTAAAATCTAACATTTATGTTTAGGTTATGTCAGGATTTCTATTGAAAATTATTGCAGTCACCAAAACATTTTTTGAATTAGTCCTGTATTTGTTCTAACACAGATAACAATAAGTTATTTATTTGGATTTTATGAGTAGAGACCAACCAATTCAAGACATCACAGTGTTTTCAAACTTACCTGAAGTGTTCGCGGCAGAAATACAGCAGAAAAAAAACAGAAGTAACAACAACTGTGTTAAAGCCATGTTTGCTTCTCGCTCTCTTTCCTTTTTGGCTTCCTTTAATTCAACAGTGTCTTAAATGTCTGTTTTAGAGAACAAGAAGAACAAGAAGAACAAGAACATGCCCTTCATGTACTTGTTTGTACCTGCTGGCTTTCTGCCTGGCATGATTCCAGGTTTCCTTGGAACTCTTACACAAATATCCAAATATCCTTAGGCAATATACTAACCATAAGTTGCCCTCCGATGTGTTCATCAGAGTATTAATGTGTGTGTAGTTTAATTTGCACTTGAGTTTAGAAGTGCTTGTATGAGTGGGGGTGAATGAGGCATGTTGTATAGAGCGCTTTGAGTACTCCGGGAGAGTAGAAAAGCGCTATAAAAGAATCAGTCCATTTACATAAATAAGGTTAAAGAGATAAAGAATAAGCCAAATTTCCTGACATTTCTCATTTTTGTGGGCGGACTGTTCTTAAAGTCCTCCCCTGGAAGTTGTTTAATTTAGTCAATTATTAAAGGTTTACAGATAATTAAAACTTGCTCCATTTACTTGTCTGAAAAGGGTGGGGGAAAAAGTGTCAGTGTGGTCTAATATATAGAATAAAAGGTTCATTGCTGAAAATAATAGTTGAATACATAATCATCAGAAAGATGAGTATTTTCATTGTGAATCAAACATTTAATAAATCAAACATGGTTTCAAATGCATGGGGTTATATACTAAAATTAACTTCAGCATTTTTTTCATGTTTATAGCTTATAGCTCCAAACCCTATAAAAACACGTTTTTTTGAGTCAATTTTTACAACATTTACAACAATATTGGTAACTTTTTATATTAAAATCTAAATGTTAAGAATAATGTTTAGCTAATATGCACATTTATCCTGCTGGTCAGAGGAAATTTATGAGCTTCATGAAAACCGTGCCTGTAGTGGGGAGGATGTGTGACTGTGGTCCCCTAATGGTTACTTCTAACTGCCATATGTTGCTTCACTTATTTTCTTCAAGCATTTCTGGTACCTTAACTGAAAACATCAGAAGAGCCATTTTGGTGGTCTTTCAGCAGTAGTGCAATTTTAGTGGATGCAGTCTCCACAATCACCAAAGCACTTGGTGAGTTTATTGTATAGCCTGGTGTACGGGTTGCAGTGTTAGCTAAACTAGCATTGCTAAGTTACTTCGCTAGCCATCAGCATGCAGAAAGCAGTTTGTTTTGTGTTTTG